TGTTCGTTTTCGTGTTGATATCAAAGGTTTGTTTAAAAAAATAGCCAAGTGATTGAAACTTTGCACCAGTCATGTTAACATTTTTATAGCAAATTTTTATTTTCTCTTTTTTTCAAAAAAAAAAGTTGAATTTGACAAACACTGAACGTCAGTGGATCGCAGTCTGTCGCATCATTTCAAGTTAAATTTAAAGCACAAACAAGTGCCGAAGTTAAACTTAATTGAAACTTTTCGAAAAAAAAGTTTCCCATATGGTGCGCACTTTAATGGTGACACTGTATACAAAGTCAATTCGAATGGCATAAGAACTAAATAGTTACCGAACGTCGGCAGTTTCTTTGGCATGGGCGGCGTGGTATAATTACGAAGTCTAATCAATTATTTTAATGCGGGAGGTACATCAGTCTTTCATTTGGGTATTCGATTAACTTCTTATAGACTGTACCCAATTCATTTCTAGTTTTTCAAACTACGTAAACACAATTTTGAAAACTGGAGCTATCCAATAAATGTTCTCAGGAGCAAGTATAGTACAGCAAACAATTGAAATTTGTTTTCCTCATTGAAAGATGGTTAACACTGTGTTCATTCAGCTGTTGGCTATGTTTCAGTTGCATAATTTGGCCCTCAACATTCCTGGTGCACTTTGTATGAGCATATGAATAAATATCTAGTGCTAGGCATTATATTCAAATGTAATACAAATGGTAATGACATTGTGGGCAATATAAATCCAAACATGATTCCGATTTTTCATGATGACAAAATCCATTTCTGTTCAGTATTGTTCATATCATACATAATTTATTTATCCGCATTAAGCTCGGATATCATACAGTATCAATCTGTAGATGGAAACATCGATTAATATTTATCGAAATGATAAATATAAGCCCATGTAACTATATTAGGCGATTACAATTCCATTTTGAAATGAAATTGCGTAATTATGGTTAGTTCTATAGTATATAGATATATTAAATACATGGGATAAGGCATGAATGCCTGCTTCTTCGACATTCAACAATAGCGGATGATTAGAATTAGTAAAAAGTATTCCAAAACTTACCTGATTTCTAATTTTTCTCGCTAGTATACACTATACATGGCGAATAAAATCATTAGCAACATGGAAGTGAATGACGTGCATTCTGAGAAGCTGTTGGATCTTCTAGTAGAAGTTCACTTTTGATATTCGTACCGAAAGCGGTTTTTGTCGTATCTATAAAATCTTTACCCAGGAAAAATTAGGAAATATAATTCTGAAACCATTTCTTCAGTAGTCAAAAAATATACAAAATTAGATTCGTGATCTTAAGTGTGGAACGTTTTAAAGTAATTTTCGAATATGTTCCTATCAAATACCGGGTGTCTGATTTTAATGAAGCAAATGAGCGTGATGACTTTGTCGAAAAGAGAAATGTATGTAAATTGGAAATTCTTGTATATACTGCTCATTTGTACAGCTACAAAAACTTTATTGAATCAGACGCTACAAACGACATCGAAATATATCTCCTCATCAGTCCATGAATAAACTACTGAATGCAGCATTGCTGTTTGACACTCAACTGAATTAATGTGATTCAATCTCTGTCGTGGTATTGGTGAAGAAAATTTTCCAAATTCTACTGAGTAGGAACCAGGGTGACCATTTTGAATTGCTAGCAAGTTGTTAACGTTGAAATAAAAACAAAAAACAACCCGTTTTATCTGTTAATTATTTCCACCTTGAGAAATTAACTACGCTTCATATCTACAGTTTTCCTGTAGATATTTAAAAATTTGTACAGGATCTAATTATACTGTTTCCTAAACACATTATGGATTACTTGTGATGCACTGTTTGGAACCTTTGGTGTACTTATGAATATTACTGGAGTTTTTTCCCAAAACCAAACCGTTATTTTAACACCTTGATACGTGTTTCGATCACCGAGTGATCATCTTCAAGAGGAAGATCAAACTGTTTGATGGTTGTTGAAATAACGGTTAAATGTTGGGAAAAACTCCAGTAATATACATTATGGATTAGACTGATTAAGCTGTCTTTGGGAAAAAACTCCCATGCTACAAAGATTGAGATATTCTTTAGCAACAAATATTTATGAAAAAGGTGATGATACACTGAATGACTTCTATCTGAATTTATTATGATTTTTTCACACTTCTTCACTTCATTAGAGATACGATTAATCGGCAAAATTAAGTTAAAAGAGATTTTGCTTATTGCTGACCAACAAAAAACTTTTACTACTGAAAACCCATTCAATTTCGAGAATCACCTCTCGAGTACTAATAATTTTTACAATTCAGTGTCATTATTTAAGCCATTTGAAAAATTTGAATATACGTTTGCTACAAATTCAAAATTCAGTCATATAATTGATCTTATCGTCTTATCGTCTTCAAAAAAAAATCATGGATGACTCAACTGGAGATGTATATATGAAATGAAGAAATACGACTGTGAGATGAGTTTGCACCCCTTTTTGCCATATTGAAAATTTAAAAAATGGTCCTTTAATTCGTATCAGTTGTCAATTCGAAATTATAGTTGAAAATGATAATGATAAAAGCTTGAACAGTTGTAATTCATTTTTACTGTAAACTCCTTCCATGCATGCCTATCTCACAAAAGTTAAAATCACTGAACATCCAGCTCCTTGACTTACTCAAAACCGCATATTTCTTATGAATGAACGGGATGAGGCCATTCTCATTTCAAATATTTGCTGAAATACTACCTAAAACCTGGAATGTTACCACTGGCCATTCACAAAAATGCCCATCATCATCAAACTGTGATTTTAGATAGGGATTACTGTACAGGTACAGCTCTTGCCATTTTTAAACAAGATATTTTTCATATTGTTGAGAGACTTAATAATGAAATGGTGAGCAGTCTTACTAGATTTTTGGAATGCACTCGATACCATCAATCATTAACTAATTTGATAGTACAGGTGTATTTTTTATTTGGTTGTATTTATTGGATAGAGTCAACGACCACTCATCATCTCTTGATATTCTATCTGGAGTACCACAGGGTTCCATTTTAGGAAATTTCAATTCTGCGTGAAGGCATCCACATAATGAAACTTAAAAGTATACACAAATTGACGATACCACACCAGTCTTCATTGTCCTTATTGAAAAAAGCTTGCAATAGATAATTTTGGTTCATTAATTCCTCCAAAGATAATTACCAACCAGTATATTTGTTCAATTTTTTTTGAGGTGCCTTCAATGCTATCTGTTTTTCTACTCTTAATTTAAGCTTGTAATTATGAAGTGATGCTTGTTGGTTGAGTTTGAGTACCTCCGAGCTAGAGTTCACCAATGAGTTCCAGAAAATCATTGAATTAGGTCTATTTATTGCATTGACTGTTTTGGTCATCAGCCTCGTATTCTGAGTAGGTAAATATAATAACTCCCCGACCCACCTAGGGAGCATCATGTAACGTTACAGAATCATCCCAATCAACTAGCTGCGCCCGATCGTGAGTCGGGCGCACTACCACTGCGCTAATACTATTATCATTATTATTAACTTAACTTGTAATAAGCAAAAATGTTTATTTTAATCTGCGCAATAAGAAGTTTGATTATTCAAGCAGAACTTATATTTTTAATTGCTTTTTTTTAGGTAAATGTGGCAGCGACCACACCACCAACAACAATGCATTGGCGGCTCGTCGGATCACCCTCAACTCTGCCAGGAACATCGCAATGCCGTCGGCGGTGCTCTCCGCAAGCTGCCCCTAGGCCAGAAGCGGTGCTCTCCGCAAACACCCCCGCACTCGCACCCCCATTTGCACTTCCCGCCCCCACCTAATTACCCGCCGACCGCTTCCAAGATGTCGGAGGACCAATTCATGGCCATTCCGGGACCGTCCAGCCAGCCTGATCCGCCTTGGCCCAACATAGACTATTCGTACGCTTACTACGAGCCGGGGCCCCCTCTCAGGCACACCAATGTCCCCAGCAAATATCCAGGGGCGTACCGTGAAGGGTCCTACAGAGCGAGACATACATATCTCACAAGGTGAGTATTTTGGATTTTATGGGCTAGTTTTGTGGTTGTTGTGTGGTCCCCATTTTCATTCATCCCATCCATTTCATTGATGGTGTTATCAGCAATCCCAGGAAAGTAACCTTTGGTGTCCCTCAGGGAACCGTTCTGGGACCCTTATTTTTTACAATTTATATCAATGACATGATGACATTGCACACGAAGGGGAGAGTCCTTAGTGTTGCTAATGACACTGCAAAAACGTGGTATGACCTAAAAAATGATATAAAAAATGAGTTCAAAATATTCAAGTCTTGGTTTCAGTTCAGCAAACTCACTTTGCACTGTGACAAAACACACTATTCACCATTCACATCTTACTCGAACAACTTACCAAACCTTGGCTCCCTGAATATAGACAATAACACACAAATACCTGAAGCAACAACAGTGAAATACCTAGGTATTATACTTGATCGACACCTTCGATGGGACAACCACATAAAAAATGTTGTCAATAAAATAAGGGGCCTACTGTCTAGATTCAGGTACCTGAGAGACTTCCTCGATTTAAAAAATCTTAGAACGTTGTATCTCTCTTTGGTCCAGTTTCTTATTAGTTATGGTATTTTGGGATGGGGTGGAGTGGTTGAACACCACTTACATAACCTGAATGTAATCCAAAAATGGATTATTAAAATCATCTACCGAAAGAATATTGACTCCCTGATTCCCTGATTCCCTGTTTCAAGAGAGCCAATTTTTTGATGTAAGGCAGCTTTTTTGTCAAAATGTATTAAATAACATCCACAAGAAAAAAATACCAGTAAATACTCTAGATCATAATTATGAAACAAGAGGGAAATCAATATATACCTGCAAAAGTGCAAAAACAATTGGTCAACGTTCATGTAAATACATCGCTCCAAGGTTATACAATCTACTACCAGCTGATATAAAAAGCATAGACAAATTCAGAAAATATAAAGATGAGGTCAAAGATTGGATTATGCAAAGTGGAAGGGACATTTTTAACAATCTTATAAATCTAAAATACTTACGATGAAGCAAAAAACAAAATGAGAGCTCGTTTTCATTTAATTTTATACTCTTTTATATTCTTTATCTTCTTTATTTTAATATTTTTACAATTATAGCTGAAGTTTTTGGTTGAAGAAATCCTTAATCAGGATAGCACGTTACAGGATAGGGCCCCGTCTTCCCATGCTCGTACAAGTCTGTCGAAGACTTCTGAGGGTTGCTCGTAGGGGTGTGACCGGTTAACGGAGGGAACAAATCTATTCAGTTGTTGAGTGGTTCTGCTGGTTATATGTGTATACTGATATATAAGTAGTAGATATATTAGATGTGTGAAACAGTGTTTACGGTTATATGTACTATATATGTATGTATATATTTGTTTGTTTGTTCTAGCATCATCACATACTAGTATCTTGAATACTTCCGTGATGTTTTCAATGTTTACTCATTATTATTCATGTAACACTGTTTTCTTCATGAACTTCGGTCAGTCGGTAGCCAAGCGGTTCGGCGTGGGTGCTTTATTCACTCACTCGAATTGACTGCCGTGTTAATGTAGACCCGGAACTGAATACATTTTTGCAGCACCTCAATAGCGACAGACCTCGCAGTGGACAAGGGAGTTGACAATGAATTGCCGTTTCTGGACATAATAGTGCAGAGGACCGACAATAAATGGGAAAAATTTGTATATATTCTCATGAAACCAATTGACAAGGGAGAGAATCTGCCTTTAGATGAATAGTTGAATCCCAAATGAATTTCATTCAGCCTCATATCAACATGAAGCAAAGTTCGACAAGGAACTAGTCCATTTCAGAAATGATCTTCAACAAAAAAACTTTTCAAAAAACAGATCTTGATCTGAAGACAAGATCTTCGCAAGAAAGAAGAGTCCTTCCTTATTTCAGAGGATTGTCGGATAGGTTGTACGTATAACATTAGATCCTGATTCAGATCGGGGAACAATATCCGTAGCAGCCTCATGAGAACAAAACCATCAAAGTCCTATATATCGGTGAAATCAAGAAGCCGTTTAAAGACTGTTTTAAACAGCAGCTGATGATAAACGGAGCAACTTGAATCCACCAACATGGTGTCAAGAGTTCGGAAGGCTAAACAAAATTTTGAAGAAGCTGTGTTGATGTTGGACAATGACGAATTCAAGCACCCTAAGAGATCCGCAGCGTATGGAAATCTCTAATTTTATATTGATGAAATTATTTCCCAGTGGCCAACAAAATAGTTCTTTTCAAAGATTATGTTTTTCTAGATATGGAACCGAAGAAAATATATACGAAGAAATCAGCGACCTGGCCAAAGCGAGACGTCGCAAGCAAGCTCACCAGGACTCCATCATGTCCCTGAATCAGAGCCTCGTGGAGGAGGAGGTGCGCCGCGTCCAGAGCGGGCACAGACGCGTCCTCGGCGAGCTGAACCTCTCCGTGGAGGCCATGCTTATGCCCTCGAGTTCGCGTGAGGGCAGCGACGATACGGACCGCGAAAACGAGATGGACGACCAACTGGCCGACCTGCTGACCGTCGGCCCCACCGACGAGTTACTTAGCCCGGTGCCCTTGGTCGACCTTGACAGCGGTTTTAGTGGTAGTTCTAGTGGCGCGAGTTACAGAAGTGCCGCGGGTAGCCTAAGAAGGGGACCGGATAGATCGAAGGGTGGGGGAGTAGTCGCGAGGACTTCGGTACCGGCCGAAACGCAGGCCAAGGGGTTCTGGGGTAAAAAGGCCTGGAAAAAACTTGCTGCTTTTCCGAGTAATATCAGTCTCAACAAGAGTAAAGGTAAGTGAAATTTTAATGCTTCATGTAGTGTGGAAAGACTCATCTACTGCCATAGCTCAACGCCGCATAAGGCGCGAGCCGCACGGCGCGAACCGGATCGTGTGAAAGAGCTGTAAGACAGAGACTATTCGCGATTCCGACAACTGCGGTAATCATTTTATCCAGTGTTGCCTATGTCATTACTATTGTAATAGTTCCATTACTTCTTACTTCTGGGTTGTATGATATTACGTCATTACGTACAGTTGGAAAACCCGTTATCTATTATTTTTGTGAAAGAAAAAGAGTTGAATTTATAGTTCGTGGTCACAGAAAAACTGATCCATTGTTGTTCAGAGGAACGATGCAATGCACATGATTGAAGTTCTCCATTGAATTTTTTTATTTTTTTCAGAGAGTGAATAATAATTGATAGCAAAAACTCGTAACTTTCACAGAAGCGATAGTGAGTTTGAAAATGTGACATACGAAACTTCCAATGCAGCAGCTGATGATGCTACAGCACAATTAGGGGAAAAGTGTACGAGATGATCCGTTGAGGAAAGATGATCCTTTTATATTGCAAGTGCCATCTAGTTGTGTGTTTATTGGTAAAATGTAGTCCCCGAAATTGTCCCGCCTCGTCATCACGCCAACACTGGTGACGAAACGTCTTTCATATGAATATCATGAGATGGGCCGTCAAAAATTAAAGTTGACCTGTTTTTGGATTTCTTCCGAAAAACGCTCCTTTTGTGAATATCGAATTTATTCCATACATTTGCATCGTACTGTATATGTATATGTGTGTGTGTGTGTGAAATGTAATAACAATTCTTCACAGCAATGTATTATTATTTTTTCAATTTTCTAATAGACAGCGAAGTTCAACGTATAGTACATGAGTCAGCTGAAACTTCAATAGGACACAAGTTGGTAGCGTTATCAGCCCGGAGCTCTTAATTCAGTGTCCCTCAGGGCACAGTTTTCGAGACCATCTACATATTATAGACTTAAGATCTAAATATTATAACAGAATATTTTTCAACGATGACTCTAAGTACTCTTTTTCTGGAAACATGATCCAGATGATTCAATACCATTTTTATTTCATCAATACTGGGAAAAGTATTATCGGGTTGAAAGAGAGATATAGGCCGTGTCTTTGTAGAAAAAATGCTACAAAATTCGATGACTAGGTATATCAGACATACTCTCATTGTGAAGTCAAAATAAATAATTAGTTTAGTATGAATAAATAGTATCTCGAATTAGCAGTGAGTAGGAATGAACTGAACAAATGGTAATGCTAGTTAACATAACATACAATTTTGAACAAAAATCCCTTTGTCTTTCCGCCGAACACTGTTCTACTTCAAGTGCCCAATTTGTCGTGAAAGTTTCAGCAAAGTGCTCGCGACTCTAACGTATGAGTAGTCGAGTGTATTATTAGCTCTGTTATTAGCCGGAGAAGGGTTGTTACTCCCTCTGAATGAAACGAACGCCCGAGATGTGAGGATTTTTTTGTTGTGCTCGTAGGTAGGGTCTCAAGCATAGTTGAAGGAGTATTACCAGCGGGTCGACAATTCTGCATGGAAGGAGGTAACGGAGGATGAAAGTATACTCGTTCCTATTTCGTCGGGAGTGCAAATTTTTATTCAAGTATGGGGTGGCACGGAACTATGGGGAAATTGGGGTAAAGGGTCCACTAGAGATTTCACTTATTCTCATTGGAACACCAGTAAACATTTGCTGTACCCAATAACAATTGGGTTGAATTATACAAAGAAGTATTACGAAACCAAAATTTTATTCTTCTTCATTCTTCAACAGAAGTTACTTGGTGTTAACACACCAACTCTTTGAGCATACTTACACTCTATGAAAAAAAATTACCTGGAATCACCTGGTGGTTTGACCAATCAACCGACAACTGCGGTAGCAGAAATTTGGGAAGCTCTCCTGGAATGCCATCGGAAAACGAATCCACATGTTTCTAGAAATGGTATGAAATGGAGAAATGTTAATACAGTCAAGCTGCTGGAAAGTAATTCCATGAAAATAAAAAGATAAATAGGTAAATACTTTTCTGATCATTCCATACTGATTTCAATTGAAGAGACACCGGTAGACAGTTGTTTCAGCCTGTTGGGCATCATCAGTACCGGACAGTACTTGATAAAAATGACTACGTGAATGCATATACAGTGCATTTCTATAATGTCTCCCCCCTTTTATTTTTTGAACGGATCAACTCAAAAAATTGGAATTCAGGATAATGAAATTAATGCATGAATACTTTATTTTGAAGTGAAATTGACTCATGAAAGTTTGAAGATGGCAACTGGGCGTCATCTGGAAAAAAAATTAAATGGAAAGGGGGTTAATTTTGAAGCTCCTGACGAATACTTCACAACTCTAGAATATGAAGTCAATATCTTTACCTACTACAAAATGGTGGAACATTTAATAATTTCCTGAAGACAAACATATTAATATCGATATTTCTAGAAATATTCCTTTTTATCTGCCATATGGTAGTTCCAACAACCCAATGAGGTTTGTTAAGTTATTTTTTGCTTATAAAAACGACAAAAAATGTCAGTACTACAATGAACATCATTGTTCAGTTAGAATATGCTAATTTAGTTTTCAGTTTTACTAGTAGAAAGGTACCACGTCAACAATCTCTAAAATGGTCAATTATCGTCCATTGGAAGAAACAATTGAAGCGATTTTTATTCACGGTGCGACGTGTAACTTTCACGAGACCGAAAGGACTTTCAATGAACGTTTTCCGAATCGTCCTAACTGAAGAAAATATTTGAGGGAACTTGTATCCAAATTCACAACTTCCGGTAGTGTACATAACAAAAAGCCCCCAGGTCTTCCGTCCATTCGGGAAGAACAGCAAGTGCAAATAATTGGTGAGATGGTAATAAATCCTGAACAGCCTATTTATTTCGTCGCGAATGTTTGTGAGGTGTCTCCTTCTACTGGGTGGATACTTTTGAAGAGGAAGAGGTATCATCCATACAAAATTAAAATGGTACACCAATTAACTGAAGATGACCCTAATCGAAGAACAGAATTCTGCGAATCATGACGGAAACCATTGCAAAGCATCCTGCCTATCTCCACCTATTTGTTTTAGTGACGAATGTACATTTTTTTAAACGGCAATGTTCACAGACAAAATTGCCGTTATTAGAGTGACACCAACACCCACGTTTTTCGGAAAACACATACCCAATATCCAGAAAAAAATAACGTTTAGGCAGGAATATTGGGATACCATATTGTAGGACCTATATTTATTAATCAAAATTTAACAGGGGATCTGTATTTGAATATGCTGGAAACTACTGTTGACCCTCTCATCACTGAATCACTGAAATCGTCGAAGCGAATCCTAATGAATTCGATATGAATATTGTATTCCCACACGATGGAGCACCACCACATTACTCCAGATAAGTAAGAAACAATTTGGATACTACTTTTCACAGTTGTTGCATTGGCCGTCGAGGTCATACAGAATGGCCAGCCCGCTCACTAGATTTGACGCCTTTTGGCCTTTTTTATGGGGCTATTTGAAGCAAAAGGTGTAAGAAACTGAACCTACTTCAATGTTAGATATACGGCAGAGAATAATAAATATTTGTAGAGATATTGACGTTACTGTGTTCGAAAATGTTCGGCGTGAAATATCGGATAGGCTGTTCATATGTCAAGAAGTTCAAGAAGGCAACCTACAACTTTGTAGGTACGTCTTCCATTTGGAAGATTCGTCGCAAGTAACTTTCTGTACTTGCTTCTCGTCAGTACCGGGCAGGTCATTTCTAAAGAACAAGCACAATAATTCCAACTAGTCATAAGCTCTATCTGCAGTTGATTCAGTAGGATGCCCACTTTGCCACCTGCAGACAAAGTCGGGAAACAACTTCACAAACTCATGCTCCATTGTGGGAGTATAAGTTAGTGGTAAGTGTGGCAGATAGAGCATAGTTGAAGAAGTATTCAAAGCGGGTTCGATCAATCAGAATCAAAGGTTTGGAAGGGTAAAAGCGTGTCCTTATTTCGCCGAAAGTGCAAAATTTTATTCAAGTATGGGGTGACACGGAACAATAGGGAAATTGGGGTAAGTGTCCTCTTGAGATTCCACTTGTTCCCATCGAAACTCCTCTCACAATTGAACAAATCGAATGGAAAAAACTGGAATTCCGTTAAAAATCCCGATGACAGTTGAGTTGAGTCGTAAAAATTTCTACAATTCAAAAACACATACACAAAGTTAAGCAGCATGTTTATTTCATAACGTTGAGTTTGTTGGAATCAACAGAAACAATTGTTTTACTCATCAGAACAGTGACACTTTTCCGGACGTGAGTTTTACTAAAAAAGTGGACAACATCAGGAGAAGATTTCAAGTAATTCCTCGACACTATCATAGGTAGTTCATTTTCATCTAACAGGCTGATATTTCACTTTTCTCTCATTTTTGTGGGATATTATGCACTAATAGTATGCAATGAGCTATTTGGATTTGGCCTTCATGTCTTCCTTTGTTAATTCTAGACTTTTTAATAGTGTAGTGTCAAGTAGAGGTGTCGACAACGGTCGAAGACCATAGTACATATAGTTTAAATTCGCAATTGGTGATTCAAAATTGACAAGATCTGGTATGAAAGTACCAGAACTATGCAGTTTGATGTGTCAGAATAAGAATACAGTTTCATTTGATCCAATATAGATGGCATTGCTCATACAAATTACGTCAATAATATCAATCATCCAAAGGAACAATTTGTTCAGGCCAGTCTCAACTCCCTACACTCTAGGTTATTGGACTGACAGTTGTCAGAAAACAACTACTCTCCTGGCTAATACCACGACGGGCGTTGGATTATATCCTACAGGTGTCGGTACAGGATTCTTCACTGAAGTTATTCCTGCATATGCTGTTGGCGATACAACTGCCGCAATATATTTTCAATTGATTTATAGCCAGTCTTCAAGTA